GCCTATCTTGCTATGGCTTGGTTTATTATGCATATTATTATCTCTACAGATCTATCTACATAAGATAGATTGGATGAGTAGTCTGGAGGAGAAAAGGAGATAGGTGGATTTCTCTTCAGCCGGCAAGGCCCAGAAGAAAGGAGGGAAGCTGATGTGTGACCTGACCCCCATGTCCTGTTACTGAAGTTATTCAAAACATTAAGAAGACCTCACAGATTCCTGAGAATGGCGATCTCTGACGCTGAGATATTTCTTCCATTGCTGATGCTATCTATGGGACTCTATCAAAGCTGAACATTTTATACAATAGTGACTGGACTATTACTACAAACTGTTGCTTTGCTGAAAGATCAAGATTTTGGACTTGTCAATTGTTAAATGTGATTGGAATGTAACAGATTTTTGTATAACCCCTTACCCATATAATATGACATTGCATAAGTGGGATGTGACAGAAAAACAATTGCAAGGGTTTAAGGGAAGCATTTCATTAGATGTGATTTAGCTAAAAGGATATTTTCTATACATTCAAGGGTGGATTTAAGGCATTCCACTAGCTGAGGTATTTAAACAAATGGTGGTTGGCATAGAAAGAGGCTGGATCCCATGTGCTTGGGTTAAAAGCATTTCACATAGCTTAAGTTCTAGTCTGGCTGTGTTGTTTATTATCATATGTTTGATGCTCGCAGACTCATGTTGCTTCTATAGGAAGCTAAGAGATATGAAGAGAGACCATGTTGCCTCCGTGACACTACTGAATCTTAAACATAATGCAGAAAGGGGAAAGGTGGGATACTAGCACTAAGGGAAATAGAACTGGGACTTATTCCCTGACGTGTACAGAGGGAATCTGGAAAGCCAGTGTTCCATGGTAAGAAAGCTGCCACTCTGGGAGTTGGAGATATAGTCTGAGTACATTTTCCTGCAGTAATCTATCATTTCCACAGTTTCTCCCCCTAAAGCCTTAAAGTGAGCACATGGTTGATTCATTCTCCCTATAGAAGCAGACATTCCTATTTGCTCCCTTTCTTCCCGCCGTGGTATCTAGCCCCTCTCATACCTTCCTCCAATAGCAGATGGGCTTAGGGGGACTTTATCCTCCATGCCTGGATGCAAAACGTTTACCATAAGCCTGAATTTTGGGCTATATTAATTGGATCATGAAGCTTTGCCTTGACAGCTTTCAATGTATAGAAAATAACCATCTAGCCACTGTGGCTCTTTTGAATTTTATGTATAAAACAAAAGGGGGAATTGTGGGAAACAGAAGGATTTCTCCCAAGTTGTCTCCCCCAAATATATGCCAAACTTAGCTGCTTGCAAATGACTATATACTTGGAGGTCATCAGGAGTAGATCAGGGGTCATTCTCCCTAAGAGCTATCAGCCATCTAAAGCAAGCAGACACCACTGTTTATCCCACAACAAGTAGGGCCCACTCCCTTCTGATAAGGATAGTAGTTGTCTGTTTCCTTGTAGGAGACCCCAGAGAGGTCAAACCCGCCCAAGGATGACCAAGGTTAGGCCACCATCATGAATCTAGGGTCTGCCCATCTTGTCACATGTATAACCCTAGACCTTCCCATTCCTATGAGCACACCCCTAGCTCATCCCTTTCCTGTCATGCTTATGCCTATCATACATCCCCTTCCTACATTGTGTATGCCTATTGAACTGCCCCTTCCTGTGACGTGTGGTTACCTGTAACCATGCCTCCCGAAGGAGATATAACCCTTGGTTAGCAATAAAGTTGAGGCGCTCTTCTGAAGAAAAAAAAAAAAAAGAGTGTAGGGGTAGAGTCTAGGCTGTCAATCTGGAGATAGCCAATGAGACTTCTGTGTGGACATGGCCTTCTCCTGCGAATTCTGGGAAATCTGAAAATTCCTTCTTGGAGGCAGGAAAGACACTCTCTCTCTACTACTCCCTGGGAGAGATTGCAGCTGACAAGACCTATGAAGCTGGGAGAGCCACATAGAACCCTGCCGGCACTGAGATGCTTACACCACCACTGGATCCAAAGACTTTCTACCCACTGGCCTCTGATTGTCCTGAATTCGGCATCATTGCATGTGTTTCATGAGTCTGAAGAGAACTTCGTGGATTGCGGTCAACATATGGGCTAATGTCGGACTTATGAACTTGATCTGGACTGGGCTGAAATGTTTTCTCAATGTTAATTGCTCTTGTATATAAATCTCTTTCTTATACACATATGGGTGTCCATGGATTTGTTTCTCTAGTCTACCCAGACTAACACATGTAGTTTGGCCAAAATGTGAACCTATGTCATTCATCTCGCTCTCCGGTAAAATATGGATCATGGTCATTGTGAAAAATTCAAATGTCAATTCAAAATTAATCTGCTTTAAATAATCAATGAAAAATACCCAAGCAGGAGAACTTTTAATGGAACTAAGTACTCACCCCACAATACTGCTCTTCATTGAAGATCTGAGGGGGCAAAGGAATCCCGTTTTGAGGTTTTTTCTCTCCAGGTACATTCTCCCTCATCCACTTCCTATTATCTTCGTCTCCAGCTATATCTAATTCCTTAAAGTCGATTTTATTAGCTTCCAAAAAGCCCACTACTTCTTGTTGCTTCTTCCTAATCTGGTCAGGAGTAGAGAAAGGTAATTATTATGTTGTTTAGGAAGAAGACCTTGTTTACATTTACATAAATTAAATTCCTACTCTAAGTAGACTGTATAACTTATATATTTCTTCAATGTTTAAACAAGGAAAATAATCAGATCACACGACTTCATTATAAAACATCAACAGCATTTATTTAAAACCTGACATTTTAATCTCATCTATGTTTAAATCAGGGTACATCAGCCTGATGAGTAGTAATGTTCTCCTCGTGACATGTTTTATTTGAGGAAATCTTAGTTCGTTCGTTAGGTAGTTAGTTTAATCCACAGGAGAGCTGACCTGGACCGTGCTTTAAGCTTTGCTAAACTTGAGTGACCAAAAAGTAAATAGGAGCAGTAAGGGTGACAAAAGTTATGACTGAGAGAAGAGAAGAGAAATGACGGTGTATTAGGAAACAAGCATCAAGTTTACCTACTCTAAAAATGCACATCACTCAAAATTACGAAAATAGGACCATGAGTCACAATGAACTAAAAATAATGTTAGAAACAAATACAGAAAACCCACGAGGGATTATTGGAAGGAAACAGGCAAGAGGAAAGATTAGAAAAAGCTGATAGATCTTTGTCCCGCCACTTTAAAGAATACTGAAGGCGCCCTGGTGGTGTAGTGGTTATGTGATAGGCTGTTCCCCACAAGGACAGCAGGTCAGGGCCACCCGCCGCTCTAAGGGAGAAAGATGAGGCTTTCTGTTCCTGTAAAGATGTACAGTCAAAAAAAAAAGATTTACAGTCTCAGAAACTCACATGGGCAGCTCTAACCTGTCCTGTAGGGTCGTTAGGAGTTGGCATCAACTTGATGGCCGAATGACTAGTCCTTTCTCCCCAAGAGGGCCCTTTCTTAGTCACACCCCACTCTTTGAGAGCAAAGCACCAGCCACATCTTTCTTCTGCTCATGGCTCATGTGTAGTGACTGCACATATCAATAAAATCTATGAACTTATAAATGCATATAGAAATAGCATGCACATAATTATTATTTTAATTAATATTTGTACTATCAACATAACATTAATTAATTACAGGCGACTATTTGTTTCAATCCAACCCTAGCAATTAGGAAAGCTGAGGCAAGTGAGGTGTTTCACTCTGGGGCCAACGTAGACAAAAAAGGAAAGTCATGCAAAAAGTCACAGAAGGGTGGGACTTCCCTTAACCCTCTGGCAGGAAGGCCCTCACTGACACCTTCCTGAGTGCCAACCTTTAAGAACCAAAAGTGCGGAGCTGTTTGCAGACACCTGTTCCCAGAAACCCGGCTCCTCCAGCCCATGAGCTGCGGCCACACTTCGTGGAAACTGGACTCCAAATTCCACAGCTTCACAGCTTCGTTTTGAATATTACTAAATCCCATCAGACCTGATGACATGTTGTTGGACCGAACGATTATTTTAAGTAATTGAGTTCTCTATAGATCAGCGGTGCTCAACTGTGGGTCGTGACCCCTTTGAGGGTCAAACGACCCTTTCACAGGGTTGTGCAATTCATAACAGTAGCAAAATCACAGTGATGAAGTAGCAACAAAGATATTTTTATGGTTGGGGGGTCACCACAACATGAGGAACTGTATTAAAGGGCCATGGCATTAGGAAGGTTGAGAACCACTGCTATAGATCCTTTCCAACCTGTCCGTAATTATTTGAGACATTTTATGAATTACTGCGGCTTCTGGGTATTTCCAGAGCTGTCTCTACCATTTAAAGAGTAGAGAGATTTTCATTTGGGCAGGCTCGTGTTTAATTAAATACTCAGAAGGCAATAGCACTCATTCTAGTCAAACTCCATACCTTCCCTTCATCCAAAACCCTTCTCAAATACCCTCCTGGCAGCCCAAGTCTGTTGGGGAGGCAGCTGAGAGAAAGCACAGTCACTTCCCAACATGATTTCCTTTTCTGTTCATCATACCTCAGGGCTTGAGGTGGGGTAGGGAAAAAACCATTTTTTGCATTTCACGATTTCCGAATAGGTGAAAAACATCTGCCCCCACAAAAAAAATCCTGATCGATGTTTCTTCTATTTGAAAGACAACAGAGGATGAAATCCTGAGAGAGGAAGAGCTCACTGTCACTCCTCAGCAGAGAAGCAACTGTATCTCCGGTCCGTGAAGTAACCGGTGAAGCATGATAGTGTGTTACTTCGCTGTGGTCTCCCTCTCCGCCACAAAAATAAAACAATTTTTAAAAATAGAACCTCTTGGTTCCCCAAACGCCAGTAATTAAAAGTGGTGGCAATAGAGGGCAACCCTGCTGGGCCCTCCTGGTGGAAGTCCACATAACAACCTGCCTGAGCCCCCAGGGACATGAGCCCCAGCCTTCTGAACCCTCTCTCAGCGTGAGTAAGGTCTTGGACATCCTTGGACACCCCCAGGGGTGTGATGGCTGATGCAGGCCCCTCACCCTGCACTACCTATCAGAGATCTCACCTCTGGAAGAGCTGAGGATGCTGAGCATCGGTGCCACTGTGTGGAGCCTTGGGGAGCTCAGAAGAGGCTCATCTCCTGTGACATTTACTTTGGGGATAGTGGCCTTGTCTGCCCTGAAGGCAGCTGCTGCTGGAGCAGTGGTGTCACATGTGGGAGTGAACTGATAGCAGGGCCTGTATGAGCCCTGCACTCGGCATTCCCCTTTTATTGTCTTGTACAGTTAGGAGCCTTTCCAACTGAGCTCACCGGACTGTAGCAAAGGCACACGAGATTTGACCTAGAGGCCTCCCGCAGTTGCTATCTGAGCAAGGCTCTGATCTTCAATTGCTTCATCTGCAAAAGGGATATAATGCCTTCGTCACACAGGCTTTGGACAAGAGTTGAATAAGGAGACACAGAAATACATTTTGTACTATCAGTTGAGAGCCTATACTATTAGGGGCCCAACACATGTCTTCATTTCATTCAATCTTTACAACAATAGAGTATAAGTAAGCAAGTATTGCTACCACGGTTCCAGTTCATGCATGGATAGGTTTGTGCAAAATAATAATAATAACAAACATGTTTAAACATGCCTCTGCAATCAGTGGATGACTCCAGATAAGCTCTCTCATTGCTACCCTTGTCTTGGTCTCATGAGAGTGCCTTCAAAGAGACTTCAATCAAAAGAGTGACTTCTGAAGGGGTCTCCTGGCCCCGATCAATTCGAGGCGGAGAGGTCAGCTAAAAGGTCAAGGTGACTGTATGGAGGGACTCCAACAGGTGAATCGTGATATATTTTTTTGAACGACAACCATCAGGGGCTTACTATGAAGTCAAGAAATCTGAAAGCTGTCTAGGTGAGGAAACTACTGAAGAAAGTTACACTGGGGGGATAACAAACCCAGGGACAAGGGAACAACAAGCGATCCAAATTGGTGGGGAGGTGGGTGTGGGAGACCTGGTAGGGCAGGATCAAGGGG